GAAATAAATAATTGGAAAACATAGTATGGATGCTGAATCAGCATCCATACAATAATAATAATAATAATAATAATAATACATATTTGGATAACATTTATTTGGATAATAAATCACCCCACAGGGATGTGTCCTCAGTCCCATCCTCTACACACTGTTCACCCACAACTGTGTCGCCTCCCACAAACACAACATCATTCTAAAATTTGTGGACGATACCGTAGTCACATCACTGGTGGGGACGAAGTAGCCTACAGGAGGGAGGTGGCCGGTCTGGTGTCATGGTGCGAGGACAATAATCTCACCCTCAACACTGACAAGATGAAGGAGATGATAGTGGACAAGAGGAAGGAGAGGAGAACTCATCGGCCACTGTTCATCTGGGGGCTCGAAGTGGAGAGGGTGAATAGCTTCAAATACCTGGGTGTCCTCAACTGGACGCATAACACCACACAGCTGGTCAAGAAGGCCCAACAGCGGATGTAAAGACTGCGGGGAAAATCACCAGGACTCCACTGCCCCCTCTGCAGAGCATTTACCACTGCAGGGTGTGTAGGAAAGCTGCCTCCATCCTCAAGGACCCCACCAACTTCCAGCACGGACTGTTCATACCCCTGCCCTCCGGTCGGAGGCTCAGAAGTGTGAAATGCAGGACTTCTAGATTGAAAAACTCTTTTTTTTTCCAACTGCCATCAGACTCCTAAACAGTTGACTCAGGATCTAACTCATGTAAATCCATCTGTACTGTTTACATAGTCATTTTGCATACCCATAATTGCATGCTCTCTGCATTATATTGTGTTCTTGTTGTATTTTTATTTGCTTCCTTCACTTGCTGCTTTAAAGTGCCTTAGATTTGTGTTACTGCCTATTTAAATTTGTATTATTGCTCCTTTACTTTATATTTCACTTGTATTGTGTGGCATTCATGTGGACAGCAAAGTAAGAATTTCACTGTACAGGAAAACAAGTTTTCTAACTGTGCATATGACAAACACTTTGACCTTCAGTGCCATTACACTCATTGAAATGTACATGTACTAAACACATCCACACAGAGAGCGAACAGTGTGTGCACTGTATATCGACAGATCAGTGTTGTCGTTACCTGGGTGCTGTTACAGACTTCTTCCCTTGTTCAAAGATGCGGTGTATCCTGTTGGTCTTGGTGAGCAGGGCAGCATAGCTGAAACACATCCCCAAGCCCAAGAAAATCCTCCTGAACGAGCACACCCCCACATCTGGCGTTGCAATCATCAGGAACGTAATGGCGTAACACAGGAAGATTCCCGTCAGCAGCACATAGCTCATTTCCCGTCCTGATGCTCGTACAATGGGTGTGTCATTGTATCGGACAAACGTGACGATGACAAAAGAGGTGGCGATGATCCCCAACATCGAGATGAAGACGGGCACAATGGCCCAGGGGGAATGCCAGTCCAGCTTGATGATTGAAATGGGAACACAGCCAGTACGGTTGGCGTCAGGTCGCATCTCATAAGGACACAGCTCACAAGTGAACTCTGAAGCCTGGGGGATAGACAGATACCAGTGGTGTAAATGAATTCAGTACATGTACTTAAGTACTATTTTGATGTATCTGTACTTGAGTATTTTGATGTTCCACTTCAGTACTTTTGACTTCACTACATTTTAGAAGCAAATATTGTACTTTTTACTCCACTACATTTATTTGATAACTTTAGCTACTAGTTACTTACTAGAATCAGACTAATGATACAAAATACAACATAACTGTCGGACTTTATTGATCAATGGTGGGAAATTCACTAAGCACCCAACAGTACCTCAATTATAACCATACAAGGTAAAATGAGTTCCACCTTTACCAGCTGCAGCATCAAATGTGATGTACACAATAATATGTCAATAATTGCAGTTCAGTAATTTGATATATATTGACATGAAACAAAACAAACAAAGACAACAAGAACCACAAAACCCCAAATCCTTTACATAATAATTTCAGTGTTAACATTTTGTCATTGTTTGGAGCAGATCTGAAGGGAGACCTTTTAGCCAAATATGGATCAAATTTATGTCTTCCTTTTATAAAATGCTTTAGAGAATATGAACCATGAACTTGAGATACGTATATTGGTCGTAGCTGAGGGATGCTGAAGATGATTTTTAGCCAATATTCTCAATTTGTGCTTTTGGGCTTTTAATAATGCATACAAATGATTAGTTATGTTTCTGATAGCCAAGCATTCTTTAGGCATAGATACTAAAGAAAGTTAAAAGAAGATACTTGTTATGGTTTAGGTCCCCTCACCAGGAGGGTGAGGGAGAACTGAGGTGGGACTCAAGATGGCTGACCCAGGTGCTAGTAAAATAAGGTGGTTTAATAGTGGGAATCACAAAAAGGAACAGAGTCAATGAACACATACAACCAGGGCTGGGCAAAGACGGCTAAGGAGACCAGGACGACCAGGGAAGAAGACAGGCCAACGGCAAAAATCAGGAGAGTGGGAGGAACAGGACGGACAGGTAAATTGACAAACTACCCGGGAGGACTGGCGAACAAAAACGGAAATCCACAGCACAGGAACGGTCAGCGTGAATATCAAAAAGAACATCTAGCTAACCTAATGGGAAAAACATAAAGAGATCCACAGCACAGGAACTGTCAGCGTGGACGTCTAGAGACGTATAACACAAAACATATAACCAACGTACAAAATGCGATCCACAGCGCAGGAACTGTCAGCGTGGAAAACAAAATGACGTACAATACATACCACGAATATAGGGCTGTTACGGGGTATGCAAGTTAATGCTCCAGAGACAACGGAGCGTCTGCCAGAGATATAAATAAGGAGCAAGGTAATCATCGGGATGCACCCCAGCTTTGCGCACCGACAAACGAGTCGCTAATTACTGAATGCAACACAGCTGAGGTGCAGATGCCGCAGGTCAGGAGAGCAGGGGAGAGAAAGGTGGAAGAGAGGCAGGTTGCACCGAGCGGACCTGACAATACTAAAGAAAGTTACTAAAGTGAGATACTAAAGAATGTTAAAAGAAGTTAAGTTGAATATAGCTTAGAGAAAATCTGAGAGGATCAAGCACAGCCCTCTTTTTGGCCACAAATTCTACCACTAAATACAGCTGAGCAAAGTTTTAAAATTCATACTCTTAACTGTGGTAAATCTCCCACATACTGTATATGTAAATATATGCTTTTACCCAAAAGCATCTCAACAGTTGATTCCTTTACCATATGTCTTATCTTTATCTGTACTTCTGTAAGCCTTTCATTAATAATAAAAAATAAAATAAAAAAAGGCATGTCATTTAACCATCTTGGTACACTGGCTCTGTCATTCATTTGTTTAATCATGCTGCTGTTTCTTTTTCTTTTCTACTGCAATCCCAAATCTACAGTAAATGTGTCAACACATTATTGATTTTAGAGCAAATGCATGTATCTGCAAAATGAGTATTGATTGCCCACTCAGACAAGCATCACCTTCTGCTGTTATGGCTAATTTTCTTTTTTCCTTTGTTGCTTCCTGAACGAAGGAACTCGTTACACATGATTGCTTATGGATTTTAATGAGAAGGATGATAGGCTGCCAGATTGTCCCAGACCATGATAGAATTAACATGAGGGATGTATCTTTATAATGTGTGATCAGACTCTTTTCCCTTATGTCAAATTATGTACTTCCGTTTGCTATAATAGTATCTCTGGGGTTCTTCCTGCATATATAAATCTAGTTGATTGTCTAAGTGGCTGAAACACAACTTGTAGCTAATTTATTGTTAAAGTCTTACAACAAATGAGACTGATTGCAGCTTGTGAAGCAGGCACTGGAAGTGATCAAAAGAGTGAGTGTACCAAAATGTTTAAAATGTAGTATTGAGTAGGTTTATAGATATTTGGTCAAATCCTGGATAGTATAAGAGCTTCTGGATGCTTTCCCATTTTTTAACAAAATTACAATCAAACAATCAAAGTAATTTACAAGTCTGGGAAATCCATGTTCTTATGTTTATTTTACACAGTCACAAAAGAGATGGACTGAGCCCCCCCTCCCCCCCCTTAAAGGAAAAAAAAAAAAAAAAAAAACTACTTTCTTAAATGATTCAACTAAATCAATTTTCCAGTGACTGCCAGTATACAACATTGGGATGTATCACACTGGTGTAATACTTCACACAGCTTTAACAATACATGCTTTGCTAAGTACAAGGGTTAATTAATCAATGGCTGAGTAAAAAAAATATGCTGTAGGTCAACTGATAGCAACCTGTAAACCATGTCATGTAAGTATTCAGACAGAGTACTACAGTATAAACTTAGGATGAAATAACACAAAAAGCTGGTTCCTGAAAACAAAGTAAATGCTCATCAAATGTATATTTCATTTCATTTTCTACCACTTAGTCCCTGAACGGGGTCACCGCAGCCAATCCTGGCTGGCAATCAGGCAAAGGCGGGGTACACCCCGCAGGTTTCCACCCACACACTTATATGGGCAATTTAGAGACACCAATTAACCTAAGCTGCATGTCTTTGGATTGGGAGGAAGCCGGAGTACCTGGAGAGAACCCACGCAAGCACGGGGAGAACATGCAAACTCCACACAGTAAGGTCCCGGGTGGGGCCTGAACTCAGAACCTTCTCGCTGTGAGACAACAGTGCTAACCACTGCACCACCATGCTGCCTGTGTGTGTATCAATTTTTTGAGCAATGCTATGATTTGAGTGCATATCAGTCAGAGTGTGGGGCAGCTTCTTTCATTGTTCTGGATCAAATCCAGAAGTCCTGACAGCTGACATTTCTCCAGAGATTTACCTGATAGTGGTATCCCTCACAACGCTCGCAGTGCCAGCAACATGGCACACCTTTCACCACTTTCTTCCTTTCACCTGCGCGGCACGGGATGCTGCATATAGAGGCTGGGAGAGATGGGTCACCTGTCCTCCAACGCATGGCCTCCATCTAAGAGGAGAGTATAGAAAAGGAAGAAGAGAAAAAAATCAGTTGTGTGTTCATATAACAAAACAAAACTTTCCATGGTCTCGCAGGATATTATGCAGCACAAAGATTGGCAGCCATCTGCTAAAGCTAACATGTGCATTAACAGTCCTTTAATACTCAGTTTTCTCTGTACCTATAGAAAGTGTGTTTTCAGGGTAACTCAGAGAGCAATTAGCATGAGCAGATCCTCTGATAGGTTTCCTGAACGCTGCCAGGCATGAAACTAACATCAGTAAGTATGGAAACCAGCATTCAGACCATAATCAGATCTGGCACACATAGGCCATCTGTATTTCCTTCTGTGTGTGAGTGTTTGTGCATATGTTCTTCCATGTGTGTGCTTTGTTTGTGCTTGTGTCATACTGGCATTATAGTGAATCCCTAAGCTTTGCCTATACTGTGTGTCTGGCATGGGTAAGTTTGTGTGTGCGGATTGTAATTTGCTGTAATGTGTGTGCGAGTGTTTGTAATAAACTCTGCCATTATTCCAAGTCCCTGAGGTTCAGCCATTGCTGAGGGTGATGAGTAAAATGAGGCATTACTGTTTTAGAAAGGAACCAGTGCAACAAAAACTAGTTAGGTGGAAAAACTCATCAGGGACAGAGAAAATGGAGTTGATTTGATCAGACACACATATAGAAACACACCACAATATTGGGCTACTGTCCTACAAATTATATCTGTCAGGAGAACTGTTGTAATGATAAAAAAGTATACTGCATTGTGTGTTTGTGAATGTGTGCGCAGGAGTACAAATTAGGATTGTTTGAATCTTCTGAAACAGTTTGTGTTGGGTGCTGTTTTTGTCCACTTCTTTGAATATATTTGTTGATTCGTATTCTTACCAGAATCTTTACACACACGCAGAATCCCACACCTTAATTTGTAACAACAACCATAAATTATGCACAACGAAAAAGCAACATAGGCATGGTTATCAACTTGTCTTCCATTAACCACTTAAGCGACACATTAAAAGCTGCAATAGGATTTGACTTTAATTATAAATATCAACCTAAGTTTGTATGTGGATCCATATGTTGTTTGTCCAAATGTATATATTTACCATGGCTTTCGTTGACTTGTTGCACAGAGGTGTCTTCTCTTTATACCAAACAGTTTGTTGATTGTGAAAATGTTCACCTGCTATTCCCATCACTACATCCGCTGTAGTTGCTTCAGTCGTGTGTGTCTAAATCACAGCCTCTCACTCTCTCAGTCAGCCAGGCCGTCCATCAGCCAGAAAGTGTCTATTTGTCTATTAGTCTACTCATCTATCATCAGGCCTTTCTAATGAAGTCCTGGGTGGATTTATAACAGAAAGCACTCCAGCACTGATCTAACAGTGTGTGTACGTGTGGGTTTGTCTTTATATACTTGTGCGAACCAACCCCTTATACAGTGCCTTGCGAAAGTATTCGGCCCCCTTGAACTTTGCGACCTTTTGCCACATTTCAGGCTTCAAACATAAAGATATAAAACTGTAATTTTTTGCAAAGAATCAACAACAAGTGGGACACAATCATGAAGTGGAACGAAATTTATTGGATATTTCAAACTTTTTTAACAAATAAAAAACTGAAAAATTGGGCGTGCAAAATTATTCAAATCCACATAAGGGATGACGGCAACATTCATAGATCCTGGAATGCACAATGAGGGGCAATGTTCATTCCTATTACAGAGGCCCACTGAAATTTTTTTGAGGAAAAGCTGTGTTAGACTGCATATTGTTTATAGTAAAGTATTTTTATATACAAATATAAAAATGAAAATGTTTCTGGAGTGGGACTTTAATTAATTATAGAAGTTGTGCAGAAGCTGCCCATAGCTCTACACAGTGATCCATGTGTGTACTGTATGTGTTTCTATGCTGCTCCAAATGAGTCTGTTCTGGTTCAACTTGTCTTATTAAATGAGCTTAAAAATAAAGTGACACCTTAGTTATAAAACACTGAGCAGGCTGTAACACACAAGAGTGTGTATTTTTGTGTGAATGCATGATTGATGGAGGCGGAACCCCAGGTT